AGTATTCATAAACTTAATAGCTATAAGGTATATCTCCTTTATTTTTAAAATATTATTTCGAATTCTAATATTCTTAGTAGGTAACTAATTTATTCCCTCCTCCTTATATACGAATAAGACCTTCTTAGGCTATATTTTTAATATTTTACTAATAAGGGTAAACAAGTACGCCCAAACCTTATTATTTAGAATAACTCTAAATTATTTAGAAATTATTTCAAATATTTCTATAATAGACGGTCGAGGGATTAAAACGAAGGGAAGAATAATTATAGCGCCTAATATTATTCTATTAGTCCTAGGTCTCTTTAATTCGCTTATAATTACTATAGTATTTAAAAAAATGGTATAAATCTCCTCCTAGTTAGTACTTACTTTAAAAGCTTTTTCTATTATTAAACTTTCAATTCCTATTTTTAAAACTTTTTAATAATTAAGGTAATTAATATCCAAAGCTATAAGGGAACGGATCGCATCCCCTAATCGTCCTATACTAAAAGCTCTAACGTATATATAATTAAGAATATAGTTGCTAGGCTCTAATTTAAAACCTTTAAATTCTATTATATTTATACTCTTCTCCTAATTAATAAATGTCTAATTAATAATATTATAATCGCAATTAATATTCTTCTACTTATACTCTTAAATAAAATAGTCGAATTAATTATACTAATAATATTATTATTAATACCCTCCTTGATCGTCTCCTTTTATACTTTACCTATTTCTACCTCTTCTATAAAAGAAATTAATTTAAATAATATTAATTTAAAAAATTATAAATTAAGTAAATTAATAAGGGGTAGGCTACAAAAAGAGGGAAGGTTACTATTAGATTAGGGAAATAAGGGTAGTACTTCAGGTAATTATTACTTACTCTATATAATTAATTAGACTCTTTAGAATCTTTTTATTAAAAACCGGGGTAGGCTTAATCGGGATTTGCGCCTTTGTAATCGTCCTTTTAATAGGAACCTTTATTATAATTTCTTTTTTAAAAGATTTAAGAGAATTATCCAATTTAATTACACACTTAGATTTATACTTATATTTTTTTAATAGACATCTCCTCCTTACTACTACTAATATCCAACGAAGCGCTAGAATTAATATCGTCGAATTATTTGATTATAAATTTAATTAAAGCTTAAGAGAATTCAATCTAATTTATAATATAGAACTCTTCCTTCAATTATTATAAGAAGATAATAATTATATATTTTATTTCAATATATAATTTCCTATAGAAATTCTTAATAATATTATAATTAGTACTATTCTAATTTAATATATTCTAACGGGCAAGTAGGGCCGAATAGGTAAGGATAATATTTATAATTTCATTTCTCTAGTAAGGGACGTATTTAATATAAAATATTTTTAAAGTAATAAATATATTACCCGTCTATTTAGGGTTCTGTACTTTATCAATTACTTTAAATTTTTTAATAAATTCCTCCCAAGTATAAGTCCTCTTTGCTTTTAAATTATAAAGGAAGCCCTTATTTATATTTTTAGGCTCCTTCTTATACTATTATTAAAACTAAACACTAATTTTGAAATTCTGTATCTCTGAACTTATAAATACCAACCTCTCTTTCGAATAATTTAATATATATAGAAACCCTTTTTCTATTAAACTTTTTCTTAAGGAGAATATTAAGAACGAAAATAATATTATTAGTAAAGAAGGCGGTAATAATATTAAGGGATACTTTAACCGGGCGGGTAGGGATATTAATTAAAGGGGTTTTATTAGAGGGGGTATTACTAATATTAAATATAATAAGTAATTAAGATCTATGGAAATTTTAATAGTAAATTTATAATTTATAGTACTAATATTAAAAATTAATATTAATACTTTTCTTCGTTAATAGAAAGTAAATCTAAAATTCCTTATTAATACTTTCTTCTTTATATAAGTACTTTAATAATTATAATAATTAAATTTCAAAATCCTATATAAGTACTAGCGCCTAAGGGTTTAGAAAGTAGTATAATAAGCGAATTAAAATTACTAATACTATTTTTTTACCTACTTTACTAATTTCTTAAAATATTACTTTAATTGCTCTAAAAGTACTAAATAAGAAGCGGAATACTATAATTCTTAAACTTATAGTAACTTCGACAATTCGAAGCGTAAATTCTATATATAGCGTATAAATATCTAATTACTGAATACTATTTAATAAGGGGTAGATTCGCACCAATCTTCTTTTTATTTATTATTTTCTTCCTAACTTTTCTTTTTAGGGTCTATTTAAAGTCTTTCCAATCTAGTTTTATTATTTTTCTTTATTATAATTAGTTCTAAAATTGCAAAATAAAAAGATTTCCAACTTAATCTAATAAGTATAGCGGCTCAAAATATCTCTAGTCTATTATCGGTAAATTGAAAATTAATTAATAAAGCGGAAATCCGAATATATTTAGAATTAAAATCTCTATTAAATCGAATAAGAGACTTTTCTATTAAAGGAATTAATTAACTCTTTATTATTTAATTCCTAGTGTTTAAATTAGTATCCTAAGGTTCTTAAAGGTAACCTCCGCATTGTTAAGAAATCCCTTCTAAAAACTTTTCGAATTCGTATTAACTAATTTAATCAGGGGTTCAAAATTTATTTCATCTTTATTACTAGTTAAAATAAAGTAAAAACTATACTAATACGAAAAGCACCCTACTACACCAAAATATAGAGAGGAACGGATCCGGAATTAATTATAGGCTTTACCCTTAAGGATTGAAATAGAGTAGTAAAATTATAATTTATTAACTATTATTAAAAATTAAAAAGGAGAATAAAATTCCCCTTATCAAACTTTAGAAAAGAGGAGTAAACCTAATAATTAATTGTCCTCTAGAAGGGATATTGAATTTACTATTATTAGGACGTTTAATGAAGACTTTATAGTTTAGAGTGGAATTTCTTAATTTATTTTCGAGAAAGAATATTGTTTAATCTTAAATTCCTATCTCTTCTTCCTTACTTCCTACTTAGAATTTTCTCCTTATATCCTTTTAATTATTATATTTCCAGGGTACCTCTCGACCGATAAAATAAATCTACTCTCCAATAGACAATAGACCAAGACCCTAATACCTCTACTTATCTGCCCCTAAGGGATTCTATACTAGAGCAAGAAACTTAAAGCAAAAATAAAGAAAAAAGCAGAAAAAGAACTAACTACCCCAAATTAATATTGGATTGTATAGAGCCTATAGAGTAGAAGGGTTAGCCTTATAGAAATAGAAATATTTAAAAGGGGTGTAAAATAATTATTTATAAGTATATTTAAGAATTTAATAATATTCTAAAATATTCTTTCACCCTCCTACTATTTATAAATATAATAAATAATATCTATATTAATAATTTTAATATTATATAATTTATAGTCTTTTAATACTTCTATATATTTATTAACCGATTCTAGTATAGGTGGGGCGGGGTTAAGGAGAATTATAATAGGAGTAGCAAACTTTTGTACAATAATAGTAAATTTTTATATAGTAGTAATAGGATTTTGTATAAGGGTTGGCGGGTTTGTATAGGGCTCCTCAATATTTTTATTTAGGCTAGTAAATATGATAGGCGCTACTTAGTTTTTTTTTTTTAATTGTATTATGAACTTTAGCCTTAATAGGTTTGGAGGGTATTATAATAATAAAGTAAGAATTATCCGAAAGGTATATTAGTATATTAAAAGAAATATATATACGTATTTAGAATATATTTATTAAATTAGTAATAAGTATATAGGGTAGATATAAATTAGTAAGGGCGTACGGGACCTATAAGGATTAAGGGGGGGGGGGGGGGGGGGGGGGGGGGGGG